CTCTGTTGCAACTGCTTCTTGGAGTTAATGGATGACTAGAAGTTTTCCTGTTGATGAGAGTTTTCAGGACAAAGTCATCTGTGACAAATCTCTGGGTGCTGCAGCTAGATGAGGTTTTTGAATTTAAAAAAAAAAAAAAGGTGATTACAGAAGGGATTATTTGAAACAGTTCTGGTGTTAGTGAAGGTTTAGCAGCAGGATGCACAACCTGGAAAGTAATAGCTGCTGCTGCAGTTAATCAGGCTGTTTGAGGGCCAGGACAGAGGGCAGGCTGTGAGCAGTGGGACAGCAGTAATGAGATGGTTGGCTCTGCCAGCCAAGGTCAGCTTACTGGAGGCATCAGAGACCAGAGAGCTTCTGATGCTCTAAAAGAGCTGAAAGATAAAATGTATTATTGTGACTACTTCATGTGTTGCTCTGGTTCCAGGGAACTGTCAGCTTCAATTTGTTCCTCCCATTGAAAAGAAGAAAGATGCTCGAATACTCCTGTGCCAATCTGTCATTTCTTTTGTGCTGGCCAGGAAGTAAAAATTACAGGATACCCTTGCAACAGAAGAAGACGCAAGAAAAAGACAATTTTAGGAAAAAAAGGCCAGTTACTTCTTGTGCCATGCTTAGAGGACTCACTTCTTGAGTCCACTGGGTGCAGAGCCTGTATGCAAAGAATAAGGCAAGGTCTGTACTTGTGGCTACCAAAAAGCAATTCAAGTACACTATGAACCTGCCCTTCGCCACACCTACCAAATCCCATGGGGCAGCACGTACTGGGATTGTCATTTTTGATCATGGTTTGGTTCCTGGAGACTAGCTATAGCTCCCTAATTAACCTGGATGGGACTGGGGAGGTGGAATCCTCTTTATTCTAAACAGCACCAGAACCAGCAGCAAAAAGACTTCAAAGCCAGAGCTGAAGAGCAAAAATTCTAGGGATTTAATCCAAATCCCCTGGATGCAGACTTGTAGTGATAGGAGAAAGGGTAATGATTTTAAACTATAAGAGGGCAGATTTAAGCTGGACATGAGAATTGGTTTTTTTTTTTTTTTTTTTTTTTTTTTTTTTATATTTGTTTTTTTTTTTTTTTTTTTTTTTTTACAGTTAAGGTGGTGAAACACTGGCACAGGTTGCCCAGAGAGGTGGTAGATGCCCCATCTCTGGAAACATTTAAGGTCAGGTTGGAGAGGTCTCTGAGGAACCTGATCTAATTAAAGATGTCCCTGCTCAATGCAGGGGGCTTGGACTAGATGGCCTTTAAAGGTCCCTTCCAACCTAAGCCATTCTACGATTTGGTGAAGGCTGAGCTAAAACTGGTACCTCACGGGCTGTAAAACAGGAGCTGAAGGTTGTCTGTCCCTAGGCTGCCAAATGGGGATAACTACAGTTCCCAGAAAATATTACCTGGTACCTGATGTTTCCTTTCCCCCTGAAATTCCCACCTGGAAGTATTTCAGGTGTCAGAACACCAGCTTTATGGGAAGGGACAGGACAGGATTCAACCAGCCCCAGGCCAGCTATACAGCCCACACAGATGCAGGTAAGTGAGGGCATGAGCAGCATTTGCACTGAGGAGTGGAAATAAAGCTGCAGAAGAGCTGTGGACAAGAAAATGCAGTTTCTGTTTGATTTGGGATATGTAGGGAAGCACAGTCATGGAGCTCAAACTGAGCTGACTGCCCAGCCTTAGTTAAGCCATTTCTGACATTAGGCAGAGAGATATAATATGACCCAGTTCATTGCCATCAAGGTTGGCTTCTGTTGCCGATCTCCTTCCAGCTCTCTCATGGGGAGCTGGCAAAGCCCATCCTTCCATTCCTCCTCCAGCAGCCTGGCTCCCCTGCTCACAGACTGCCCTTCTGCCTGTGCTCTGGTGTAACACAACTGTCTGAAGGACAACATGGGAAACGAAGATGTTGGCAACTTAAATTCTCATTGACTCTGTCATGGGTTTAACATGCAGCCACCATGGTTTGTAAAGTCTCCCAGGGCAAAATTGCTCCTGCTCTCAAAAGACTTCACATTTGGCTTTAAATTCCAAGTGGGCCGTTCTTTGCCTCCTGAAAGGGCAAGCACATCTTGGAGTCAATGCAACAATCAGTGCAAAACTAGTGGAGGGGAAAACAAATTCAGTGTGTGTTCTTTAAGATTAATTTTGAAAATCTCTCAGTAAGAAACTCCTTTAGCAACCTCCCTTTCAGAAAATCAGCAGGCACTGTAAGCTGAGTGAACAAAACAATGACCTCCAAGCTCCTGCTAAGTGAGAAAATAACCATTTTTTTCTCCTCTCATTTTGTTAATAGAGTCATCCAGGAACCACACAACTTCAAAGTGATGTAACAGGCCCCTATCTGATACTAATTCTCATCCCAGTGCTCTCTAACAAGCCCGTGCCAGGAGTGTGTGTTCAGGCATTGCTGTTTCACTTCCTTCCCTGTCTGCTTTCAGCTGATGCTCTGTGCAGGCTGAATGGCCACAGACACAAGCTGTCTATCTCCCAGCTGCTCACAGCCTAGTTTGCCTGATGAAAACTACCCCAGTTAAGTGGGTTGTCTGCGAGCAGCTTGTCACTGCCACATGTATAGCATCAGAAAAAAAAAAGTGTCAAACCAGCCATCCCTTTTTTGGAAAAAGCCAATGCTGCTTATAGCTCTCACTCCCACTTCTCCCAGCAGGAAACAAGGCGGCTTCCCCAGACCTTTTCCAGCACTGCACTTTGTGTGGAAGTTACCTTTCTGCCTGTTCAGGTTTAAAAATATCAAAGAGCAAAAGGTAACCCTGTATGGCACGTAAACATGCCACTGTGAGCTTTGAGGCTGTGCTTTGTACCACTCTTAGCCCGAGTGTTTGTTCTGTGATACAGGTGAATAAAATGGTCATGTGCCTTGAAAGCACATGGGAAGAAAAGCACCTTTTTCACTTATTGATGCTCCTTCACAAAACACACACTTCTCCACTTACAAGTTTCAAAGCATTTAAGAAATATTAATTCTGCAGCAGAAAAACCTCTAAGGTATAACTGTCCTGTCATTCTAGAGAGGAGTAGCAACATGCCAAAGCTAAGTGCTCTGTTTCTTATGCAGGATCCTGGAAAGAAATTTAATATATTGTTTTTTAAAAACAAAATAAAACAAAGAAAATCCCCAGAGCTCACACTTCATCAAGGAAATGCAGCTTGGATGCTAAAAGTCAAACCAGCATCAAGTTATGGATGCTGGGATCGTCAAAGTTCACTTTGCACAAGTGCTTATCTGCACTTGCAAGCAGTACAGACACCATCTTAAGTACTGTCCTAATCTTCAGGTATTAGCTTAGAAAACGCTGGATTTATGGGAAAAAAAGATAAACTTTGCTTCCTTTAGACTCCCACTGTGCAACATATATACCCACCCACGTTCATTTAAAAATTGAACAATCTGTCACATTTGCCCATTATGGTTATAAAGCAGAGCTCTGAACCCATCCCAGTGGATACCTTTCTGAGTCTGGCCACAAAAACCACATCACATTTTGTCTCTTCCCAGTGTGTGAAGATCTCCCAGACAGCTCGGCAACTAGCAAAGGAATCTTTCAGGAAATACACCTTCCTCCTGTCTCCTTCCTTAAGATCTCTCTTTGGGTATGCTCCTACTTTTGTTTATGCAGGAGAGAGATACTTGTGAAATGTAATTAACCACTGGAGAAGATGATGTTTCTGCTTGAGAGTGTGCTCTCTGCCCCAGGCTCCAGCTGCATGACAGCAGCTCAAACACGGTAATCAAAATGAGCGTGGCTGAATACATGGCCAGATTAATGAATCCTGCAATTACACTGGGAATACACTCAGCTCTTCCCAGAGAGATGGATAAAAGGGTGCAAAGGCAGCATGGCCACAAGCACACTGTTTCCAGAAAGCTTTTTAAAACTTTGAATGAGAGACGCCAAAATGCTCGGCAAACGCAGCGATAGAAAGACTAGTCACAGGATTAGGGTGACCTTTTGTAACCAGGGCATTCAGAGGTAAACTGAAGAGCAATGCCAGCGTGTTATGTGTTTGCATCAGTCCTTGGAAAAGAGCCAGAGGACTGTAAAGGGAACTTAAAGAGGATCTAAGCTCTCCTCTAACCAGTAATACCATAAAAGCCCACTGGAAATAGAAAGACAAGACCTGAGGAAACGCCGAGACTTTTTTATGGAAACAGGGCTAAGCATTGCCACGCTCTGTGATAAAATATTAAGCCAGCTTCATGCCCCTCAGGGAACACCCATGGTCAAGATTTTCTTCACAATCACAGCCTAAAACCATGCCCGGGACGCCCCAAAAGAGCACCTTTGCCTTCCTCAAAACCTCGCCGCCGCCGGCAGATGAGCGGGGTTAGGACCCGCTCCTGTGAGCGCGGCTCTCCTGCCCCGCAGCCCTGGAGCTGCTCTCAGCCACGTCCCCGTTCAGCAGCGCCCCTTTCCTTCCTTCCTTCCTTCCTTCCTTCCTTCCTTCCTTCCTTCCTTCCTTCCTTCCTTCCTTCCTTCCCCCGCGGGCTCGGGCCCCGCACCCCTCCGGGAGCCCGGCCGGGTACCTGTTGCTGCCGGCGGCGCTGCCGCGGCTCACAGCCCGCTCCGGGACGCCGCTCGCCCGCCGCCGCCCAGCGCTCCTCGGGCACCGCAGTGCCCCATCCCGGGCGGCAGCGCCCGCAGCTGGAAAACTAATAAACAGCGAATAATAATTTATATATTTAAAAAAAAAAGATAAAATTAAAGTTTTAGAATGAAAAAAAAAATAATTAAAAATTAGGAGAAGCGAGAAGAGCTCGTCTCCCGTCGCCGCGCACCGCCGCTCTGGCAGCGAGCGAAGCCGCTGCCGGCTTTTCCTTGCGGAGCTGCGGGAGGCAGGCGGAGGCGGAGGAGGGGGCGGGCGGCCGGCCGCGCAGCAGCGCCGCCTCCGCCCCCACCCCGCGGGCAGTGCGGGCTGCGGAGCCCCCCGGGCTCGGCCCCGCGGGATGCGGCGGAGCCGGCGCTGCCGGTGCCTCCGTACCTTTTTGGGAGAGGCGGCGGTGCGGCTCTTCCTTTTTTTTGTTCGATGCGTCTGGCCCCTCAGGCCGTTTGTCCCGAAGGCGGAACATCTGCAAAATCCCTCTGACCCTTCCCGCCTGGAATGGGGCAGGGAACGGGCTCCCGCAGCTCGCCTTCCCCGCAGCCGGTGGACCACTCGCTGCAGCCTCCGTTGCCTTCAGTAGTGTGTATGAAAGCTCTAAATTTGGATATTGGGCGGGCTGAAGACAGCAGTTAAAGGCGAATATAAATGAAATAACATTGCAATTAATGGACCTTGAGTTTCCTTCTTTAAGCGTTTTTCTGTTACCCCAAGAAAAAAAAATGGCAGAAATACTGTATTTTCCCAGAGACTCTGAGGTATTTTCTTCAAATTTAGTCTTCCTTCAAAAATGGATAGTCCTATTTACTATCAATATATCTCTCTAGAGAGATGGATTTTGCATATATTTGTTGCTATCCTGAGGACTTCTTCAATTCTCTTCTGTGACTTTTTTTAATAGTGGACTTTACATCAGGCAACAGAAATACCAAACGCACGTTGTATTTTCTATTTGATTTTCTGTTCCTCTGCCAGCATTTAAAGCTGTCATAGGGTCCTTCAACAAGCTCCTCTTGTGCCTCTAAAACAGCTGCAAGTGCTTCTTTTCTGGGGGGAGGGGGGAGAGGGAGTGAGGGGCAGAGGGAATCCCTGGCAAATCTATTGGCCAACCCAATTCCTAGGCTGGTAAATGGACACTATTTGGAAGGAGGCTTGAGAAGTCAATGCTGATACCCTCCCCATATCCCTGTATCTTTTCCCTTTTAGGTCAGGACAGTTAGACTCACCACTTTGAATGCAAATGTTTTCATTGAGTACACTGACCTGTCACACAGAGGATGATGTTGTATGAAGAAGTTAAGCAAATGACAAGGAAGACAGAGCTAGGTTTTTTACAGAGCATTGTGCATGTAAAACAATCCCCCAGACTGTCCCTGACCAAAATTCCAAGCTGCCAATTCCAGATGACCTATCATCTTCAGTAATTTTCAGCAGGAATAATGAATATGAGTTATTTATACTGTATGCTGAAAATAAACCCTGTAGCCTTAGAAAGTAAAAATGAGACAAAATGACTCCAGATTTAGTAAAAGCAGAGAAGCATGCTCTTCACACTGGTGTGCAGACCTCTGGGGCCTAGAGGCCGTTTCCAAGGTTTCTGAGTTCAGATGGGCTCTACAGCAATCAAGGCTGTGGTATTTCCAGAGGCACCCATTTCTCCACTAGAAAAAGTGTAGGGGCTATTGCCAACACAGTGTCACTGCTGTAGCTCCAAGGCAAAATTTTAAGGGTGACCTTTCTACATCTCTGACTGAATGGACTATTCTCCCATTTCATGTGTGTCACACAGGATGTGAACTCTGAGGCAAAGGCGGAGGAATAGCTTTCTGGAAAAAGCATCTGTGCACTTTGGGATATGGAATGCCAGGGAAAGAGGAGAGAAAATATTTGTGGCAACGCTGAAAGCTATCATCATGCATACTTAATATGTATTTGAGTCCATTTCAGCCTTTTAGAGGGTGGCAGCTCTCACTGTGGAAGCCTGGTTATCTGTTAAAGGTTTTCAATGCCAGAGACTAATTGCAACATCTCACTTCAACCTGGAGCCTCCTACAGTTCTGGTCAATTGTTACCAACTCCCTCTGGCCTTTTTGATCTTATCTTGCAGAAGATTTTTTAAACTTAAAGTTGCAGATGCAAATTACCTCATTCATATTGCAGCCTCCTCTTTCAAGGAAATATCCTCCATCCTATGCAAATGCATGTGATAGGGATGTATGAGCTGTTTCTCTTGGTTTCTCAATATAGTTTAGCATAGCAAATGCAGAAAGCTACTCTCCTCCTCTCCATCACACCCAGCCCTACACACACTCCCACTTCTCTGCCCTCAGTGCTCGTTAAAACAGCTGGGAGACTGAGTAGGTTGATTAATGCTCTAGATAAAATCTTTGCCCCACTTAGTCCTTCTGGACATGTATTCATCCTGACACACATGCTTTTGAAAGGCTGGGACAGTCATTCCACGTGTGTCTTGTTTTGCTAATTCAGTGGAAATTGCCAGAGAGCTCTGTCTCCCTCCATCATCCGGCAGGAGCTGAAGCTGCCATTGTATTGTGGCTGTGATCATGCTACTATGCCTATAAATTATTCACGGTATTGCAGCGTAATCTTCTGTTATGTTAAAAATAGGTCATCATGAGTGTCCCCAGTGAAATTCTAAGTGACAACAGCTGATTTTAGCTTTGTCTCCAGAAAACAGTGACCTTTTCAAAGCAGTAATTGACAATTATGGTCTACTTCTGTCTCTGAGACAGCTCCAGTGCACCTTCACAAACATTTATTCTCAGCAATGGTAACCCCACATTATACTTGAGACAACTAAACCAGAGCCACTAAATTACCTGCTGAGCTTTGCTAAAGCACTTTGCTTTCTATTAGCCTTTGCTTCCAGGCCAAAGAGTAAATAAGGATTATAAGAGAAGAGATTATAGTCTGAGAATACCTAAATGCTCTGCTCCTCCCAGGCACTCAGAAAGCTTCTTGAAAGGGCTGAGCAGGATTTTCTGACTGATATGCATCAGTTACACATCCGTCTGGGGGGGTGGATATATTGAGAGATACTTCACTTTTCCCATTGCCACACAGACTCCAGCCCACTGAATCCCCTGAATCGAGAGAGCAGGAGGCTATCAGGCCCATTGCAGACTAGACAAACCTGGAAAGGGGGAGCATGACCCAGTAGTCTGGACAGAGGTCTGGGGGAAACTCTCTTTTCCCCATAAGATACTGTGTGGGAGGGCTCTGTGTGGACCCCCTGAAAAAGCTGAATATTGTTGAAATTTCCCTGCTTGCTGTGGGGATGGATGTCTGTTATGCAGACACAAAGACTTAGGCCTGGCTGATTTCATTCACCTGAAAGCAAGGACTGGTAGTGGGTGGCAATGCTCAGCAGACCATGCAGACAGCAGTTTGCATGGAGGTCTCTTGTTAGCATGTTCAGAGCAACAGGAGGCCAAAGGAGATTGGGGGATGGTTGGGCAGACCACAGCTTTGAGCTTTGCGTGTCTGAGGTAGATCAGGCCTGCCCTAGACTTTAAGGAAAACAATTTATACCTGGTTTTTCCTGATGTAACTTGTCTTTGCTGTGGTTCTGTGTAACTCCCATGCTCAGAAAAGATGCACAAGGCATCTTCATATTGCTGATGGACATCCCACGGGACATCTCCAGTAGGTGTCACACCCAGGGAAGTCTTCTGTGGAAACAAAGGGTGCAAACCTGACTCCTCTTAACTGGGGATTTTGGTCCAGAAATATAGGTAAATGATCATATTTGAGTGTGTGGAACATGGCAGATGCTGGAACCATCACTAGGGAAAGTTTTTAGGGGAGAGGTAAAAGACAAGACCCTGACACCTGCCATGAACAATCTGGGCAAGATGTATGCATTAACATTCTGACCGTATGCAAGTTTGCCATTACTCTTTCCAACTATGCATGTCAAATTGTAGCCACAATTCTACTGCACCCTGCCCATGCTGCTCTTTGGATTGTCTCTGTTCCTTATAGCTTCTCTGTCCAGTTTGTTGCACATTCATTGCCATCCTGTAGCACTTCTTGCTCTCTTTCTAGAAGAATTTGATACCTACTTGTTTTTCTCTCCTCTAACCACTGTGCAATCATTTCCCCCCTTTTACTTCCCATCACTGTGTTCCTGCTCCACCCTCAAGTTCCTCATTTCTCATGATGGTGCTTTTGCAATTCTTTCCACTTGTTGCTCTGGGGCACTTAATGGGGAAAAGTTACTAGTGCTGATCTTCTGCAGTGATTCAGGAACAAATTTCATTTTGGACTTCTGGCCAGATGCTCAGCACAGTTGTATCCTTGGGAATGACCAAAGCATAATGCAGTAGTTGTGTCCTGTGGCATGGTGGTCAGGACGCACTTGGTATGTCAAGGAACAGCTATGGATACAGAGGGAGAGGGCCAGGGACAGAAAAAGGAGTCACCTTCAGCTGCATTTGTGGTGGTCTGAGATAGCTGCCTTCAGATCAAGAACCCCTCAATGGGCTGTGCCTCTGGCAGCATGTGAGGGAGGTGTATGCACAAGCACACATCCTACCTATCCTCACATATATAACTTAGGGGAGCAGCACAAAAGAGCCACTGACTGCATTTTTTTCTCCAGAACCTGTTTCAAAATCAGCACTGATGCCTCTTCTGGGGAGGTTTTGCATGGCAATGTTCATACAGGGTTGGAGGGAGAAGCACATTCCAGTTTCTCAGACTGCTTAGCAACCAGGGCTGGCTGAGCCGCTCTTACGTGCACACCAAGTGTGTGGATGGTGTGTCTAGTAGTGCAGCTCTATCCTTATATTTCCCCTTTTATTGTTTTTGAAAATCAGTCCTTGTTTTCTAGTTAAGGCACTTGAAAAACTGCTGTAAAGTAATTTTTGCTTTCCTGGGCAGCTGGAAGTCAGCTACACTATGAGATGATCAAAGCTATTACAGGAGGGATTGGAGACTTGAAGAGACAGGTGTGGCACCATCAGCCTGCTTTTTGGGAGCATGACTGCAGGACAGTGTCATCCATGCTGCTGGTAATAGGCTGGCTTGAAGTCCTGTTGCTGGACAGCCATAAAACCAGCTTGCCCAGAGGAGTGCAGGCAGTGGAACACATTGCTTTCCATGGGTCTGCAGCATGTGAGGTTCCTGCTCAGGACTGTCTTAGTACAGTCAACATGCTTAAGATCAAGAGGACCCTGTTAGACCATTTCCAGGAATGGTTTCAGCTTTGTAGACAGAAAGTCAATATGTTCCTAGCTTCCTTGCTGGGATCCTCTTGAATCATTAGATAATCTCTTGCCTCTTACTTGTTTCTTGGCTCTCAAATGCCCAGACCAGTGTCCCTGCCACAACCTTCACCGTCCATCATGACCGCAGGCTGAGATTCTGAATCTGGGGGTTCTCTTAGGAACTGTGACCATCTCTTCCCATGTTATCCAGCAGTAATGCCTGATTCTGAAACTTGCTGCTGACATAAGGACTATAGTTAAAATGTGGCCCCAGCCCATGTTCACCTTGCACCCTCACCTACATTTGAGGCAATTTTGGGCAAGCTCTAAAGCACAGAGGAGGAGAAAACCTTTCTTTATACATGCACAAGCACACTCTGGTTCTCCTCCACCCCACGATGTGAAGCAGACAACTGGCCTGGAAGGACCAAGGATCATGAAAGATTGTATTATATAGGTCAAGACACTGTAGGACATGTTAGCAAACATCAAAGGTATCCTAAGTCCATGACTGAAAGAGCAAGTCAGGAGCACCCAGGACTTTGGCCTGCCTTGCTGCATACCCCAGCAGCAGCATAGAGACAGGCCCTGCCTTCCTGTTGCTCTGTGAGCCCACAGGTCATGGCAAGAAGGGGAGGAGCTGCAGGGATGATGAGCATGGACTGGGGAAAATGATGGTCAGGTAGAAGAAGGCTGCAAAGGCTGGGGTGGAAGCAGGAAGCAAAGGAGCAAAT